TGAGTAAATTTCAGGAGTTTGTTCTGGTGTTGATAAAACTACGGCTGACCGTCCCACACTAAGATCTTGCTTATCGTTTTGATGTTTCTAGAACTGTTGTTTCTCGCATTATTGTCACCTGGTTAACTGTCATGGATGTTCGTTTTATCTCCTTTAATTTCCTGGCCAAGTCGGGAACAGCTTCAAAGAACAATGACAAAATGTTTCATTGATTCTTTTGGTCTAAAGACAAGTGTGATTATTGACTGTTTGGAGATATTTATTGATAGGCCATCCAATCTTTTAGCAAGAGCACAGACCTTTACGAACTACAAACACCATAACACTGCGAAAGTGTTGATTGGGATAACACCACAAGGAACAATATCATTTGTAAGCGAGGCCTGGGGGGGGGGGGGCGCACATCAGGCAAATTTCTTACAGAGAACTGTGGCTTTTTAAAAAATTTACTTCCTGGGGATCTTGTCCTTGCAGACAGAGGTTTCACTGTCCACGAGCAGGTGTGGTTTCACCAGGCAGAACTGAACGTCCCTGCATTTACCAGGGGCAAACAACAGCTGGATCCAGTCGATGTAGAAAAGACACGTAAAATCGCCAATGTCAGAATTCATGTGAAGAGAGTTATTGGAATTCTGACACAAAAGTACACAATCTTACAAAGTACTCTGTCAACTGACTACTTAGCACGTGAGGACAAGAGCAAAGCCCCACTGATTGACAAGATAATTCGAGTTTGTGCTGCCCTTGTTAACCTCTGTCCTCCTATTGTGAGTTTTCATTGATTTCTTTAATGGGTAATAACTCATCAAGTTGTCCGAATTAGCCATACATCTTGCCTGAGCCCCAGTCAATTTACGGTACACCTAAATACATAGCCAAGAAGTGTAGCAAGCTTGTCTAAAGTGTAGTTGTTGTTACTTAAGCCTGAAAAGTAATATGCATGAAAAGAGGGTGATTAAAAACACTGCAGCTCTGTGGGGAGTCAGCTGCAAATCCATTCAAGCAAGATGAGTTTCAGGGCCCGGTTGTTTGAACGCCAGTTAGTACTAACCCCGGTTTCTCTTTCTTTTGTTCAAAAGGATTTTTTCAGATAATTTTCTGTTATTTTCAAGAGCATCCAATCATCAAAAAGAATTAAAGTGAATTTACTTTTTAAGCTTTAATGTCTGCGTTCAAATTTCGCACTAACCCTGGGTTATCTTAACCCAGCTTCGAACAACCCGGCCCAGGTGACAAACCTTGACTGTAAACTCACGACTTAATGGTTGAAAAAAATAGGGATTATTGAGAAAATGTAAACATTTCTTACATGGTTATGATTCACCCTTGTCACAAGCTTCAGCAGGTTCACAAACGTCTTTTTTTATTCAAATAAGTTTTGATCAGTATGGTAAAACATTTGGTTAAAAAAAAACTTATGCAGTTGGCCCAGGAATTAATTAAGTAATATTAATTAATAGCAATTGAACTAAAGCTCACTAAAACAGAAAATTTGTTTTGGTTTCTAAGGGCAGTGCTTGTGGGATTGAGAATCTAGTACCCAGTGCAGCACTTATTTGGGTTCTAGTGCTTAGTTGAAAGAATTTGACAGTGTATTTCAATTTAGTAAAATCCAGCTAGTGGTCGATTATCAATGCTGCATTCTGATTGGTTGAGCTACTACTAGGCTATATGTTATAGCCCACTAGTAGCGAAGAGTGTCGGCTTTGAAAACCAAAACTATGTTTTTGCTAGCTAAAGTTGTTTTGTCTTGATATTTTTGACCAACAAGTTGGTGTCTGCTATAGAGACTTTTTGACCATGTATTTAGTTTTTTTATATGTTAGCTTTCCTTTGTAAATAGTTTTTTATTGTATAATAATTTTAATAATGTAGCTTTCTTTCATACAAATAAATATATCGCAAGGTTCATATTAGCCTCCCACACAGATACTTGACACTGTTTCGGTCAAATTTTCTGATACTGTAGAAAATATGGTGAGCTTTAGTAATAAATGATATTTTTATCCATGGATAAGGGTAATAAAATTGATCAAATATAAAAATATTATTGAATGGATGGTGTGATCCTCCTTAATATCTAACACTGGGTTGGAGAGGCAGTAAAATAATTACAACAATATTTCTAGCCCCTTGGGAAGAAGCCTCAAGTGCCTCCTGATGAACTGCTAGATTCTCCTTCCAATTTGTCTTGTTTATGCTCAATAATCAAAGGGAGAATTTAATACATGTATTAATATCAGGAGTCAACTGTAACTGAGCCCTTTAGTACAGAATGAAAAAATGCCTCTCAAGTTAACTGGGTCCTTACATTCTACCTTAAAATTAGTTTTCAACTGGGATTTAATCTTTACAGGTACTACCTGGAAATCACTGTCCCTCATCTGTGGGATTTTTCCCAATAAACACGTACAAGATGTGGCAATGGTCACTTACAGCGTATAATAACAACAAGGGTATTTACATAATTTTATATAACTGTGTGCAATGAAGAATGTAACCTTTTAAGCCCCATATCAAGGTCTGCCATACAGTGAATTTCTTATGGTACTGTCCAGTTAAACATTGACACATTTTATTTTAGATGGTCCGTTTATTCATTCTCCTGACCTGTATGTTTCATTAGGCAGTGATAATGTAAGGTCAGGAGAACTTATTTGCTACTCGCTGTTAGGGCTTAAAAGGTTAACGCTTGGGAAAATGTCCATTATTAAAGATCAACGGTTGGAAAAAGTTCCATTCTACTGGACCTCAAAAATCTTGAAAGGTGAGGACGCATCTTCGGGATATCAAATTGAATACTCAAGGGGTCTTGCATAAAAACAAGGCTTGTAGCAAATGCTCTAGCAAATACCCGACAGTCAGATCCATTTCGTTGCTGCTGAATCGGGACAACATTAATTCCCCTGAATTCCTGTCCGAGTAGACTTCTTGCCTGTTCCTCAATGTCGTCACAGACAACATCATGAAAAAAACTGTCATATAAATTAACATGGCCACTGGAGCAACCAATGGAACTTAAACATACCCAGTGGTTACCTCCAGTGTTCAAAATCTGTATGAATTCACCACTGATAATGTCAAAGGCTCTTATTGGACCAAGTGTTGGCCTTTGAAATCCTTCAATGTTCTGATTTAACTGTTTGAGGTAGATTTGTGCCTGGTGGATTATAGAACAGTCTAACCAGCCATGTGTATCCTCTATCAATGCAAATTCTCTTTCAGTCAGATTCCC